GGTAATGAATCACAAGATTTTTATTGTGATTACCAGGAGCTTCATCCTCCAAAGCATGGACAGGTAGAGAAAGAGGAAATAGGTATATGTTTAAATTTAGCTGGATGAAAGGGCTAGTCTGCAGAAGACCAGAACTGAATTCCTGGAAATGTTGCTAAGTAGCTGCATGATTTCAGAAAATATTAAGCCTCAGTTATCTTATCTGTTAAATGGGAGAGTTGGACTAGATGACTCCCTAAAATTTAATATCTCACAAGTTTTGTAAAGCACGAAGATAATACCACTGATGACCACCAGGCTGTCTGTCTCTATCTGTGCATGTGTCCCTCTGTCTTTAATTCTTCATTTTTTTCTATGTAGTAAAGTCATCAGTTTTACCATTTATAATGCCAAAGATCCTTTTAATAATATGACTATATGTTGTAATTTTGCACCTCTCTTGTCTTTTTGGTTTGTGTTTTTCTGTTTTCTGTGTCACTCTCTTCTTTGTCCTTGCAATACTGGTTAAAACTTGTAATGCCTGTTTCCTATATGTATTTTACCCTATTCATTGTTTCTCCTTCTTACTCTTCCTCTTTCTTGTTCTTTCTTCCTCCCTCTCTTCCATCAGTTCATTTCCTCCTAATTCTCACTCACCGATTCCCATTCCCCATCAGACTTCTCTTATTTAATCTGTGATGATACCTATAGACATTGTTTGGTGCTGCCACTAGTGCACTAAACAGAAAACAAAAACACAAAATCGATCTTAATGGCATGCTTACTTATTTACTAGAATGCTATAGTTCTGTCTGAAGTCATCCCACACAACCCATAGAGCATTAACTTGCTGGGGCCCCCTACTTGTTTCTATCTCTCTAACAAAGACAGTGAGGGTAGGCTTTAGTGACATCCCATTTCAGAATGTGCTTTGTGGGAGTCTAGCTACCAAATTACCTCCCATTCAATCTGACAAGTATTTATTGAGCACCTACGGTGTGCCCAGTGCTCAGTAAGTTCCTCCAGGGATTCCTGGGGTCTCCAAACAATACAGCCTAATCCTGCCACAGCAGGAACTCAACATTATTGCACAGGCTTTGTACTGAAGGTTAGTCTGTGCTGAGATTACAGCCTGAAGAATTCATTCAACTCCTTTGGCTTGGAAATGAGGCTGAATTTTCAACAAAAGTGGGAAGTTGAATCAGTCTGGGGCTTTAATTCAGTACATATTCTCATGTGAACTTTGGAGTTACCTTGTGTGCATCAGAAAGGTGAAATACATTGCTTACCTTCAGCAAAAGGTTTCTCTTGGGAGAGTCTTAGCATTTCCAAGATGTCATTAAAGCCATAATCTGTCACTTTTAGTACAAAATGTCCATCTACCACAAAGTTCAGAGATTTCAGGCTCCCATGAGTAAACTCTCTGTGGTGTAAGTACTTCATGCCCTGAAGATGATACAAACAGGATTTATCTAGCAATTTATTTAAATATTTTCTGCTTTTAGAGCCACTTTCTGAGATTGTTATGGCATGATTTATTATGATCCAGAATTCAGCCTTTGTTTTTTTCTTATACCTAGGCAAAGCAAACTTTGACAATGAGAATTGTTTCCAGGCCCCTTTTAACTCTAAAATTGTATGCTTTGATAAAGAATCATATCTTGAGTGTACAAAGAATTGTGTGTTATTGGAAGATTTACTACCATTTCAAACACAGGATGGATTCATACATATATAATTGCCAAGAATTTGAAGATTCTGATCCCCCCAAAGGTCTAGTCCAACTCGCATCCACTATTGGAAGGAATGGAAATTGGTACAGCCTTTTGGGTGGGCAAATTGGCAATAGCTATGAAGACTGAAAGTATGCATGCCCTGTGACCTACAGATTCTACTTCTCCTCCAAAGAAATGCTTACTCATTTGTACGAGAAGACATATACAAGAATTTTCATTGCAGCTCTGTTTTATAATATCACATAATTGGAAATACAATAAATACCTATCAAGAAGGGACTGTTCAAATTGTGGTATATCCAAACTACAAAATGTAAAAATTAAAAATAATCAGTTAGATGTATATGTATCAACAAAGAAACATCTGTAAGTCATAGAGTAAGTAAAAAAATAGTAAGTTGCAGAACTATATGACAGTATATAGTTTTAAAAAACAAACAAAATCTATAATGTATGCCAATACACATGAAATTAATTACAAGGCTAATCACCAAATTGTTAGCAATGGCTAACTGTGGAGGAGAATATGAAAAAGAATGAGTAAATGTCAGCATTTTTATATCATTTGATTTTTAAATTTAATCTAATACATTATTTTTGTAATTTAAAATAGGCAATAAAAAAGAAGAAAGCTGAATACTCCTGATCTCTGCAGCTTGCTTGGCAGCTTTATATGACACTCAAATGTGATCTACCAGAACTCTTTCAGATATATTTAATCTTTCACATATAAGTGTATCCATAATCTAGTGTAATCATTTCAGAACTGTTTATGCCTAGCCTTTTTAAGTATCTGGCTCTATTTTGTAGCCTGACACCCTGTTTGTATTTGTATGATTTATATCTTATGTCCTCAAAAAAGTCTGCAGTCCCCAGTATCTCCTAGCAGAGTCTGTAGTGGGTAAGATTTTCTCCAGGTTGTCTAGTGCTTGTGTTTCATTCATCATGGGCCTGACAGTACTGTAATTTATAGGTTTCTCCCTTAAATCACAGGACCTTGCTTACAAGGTAAGTGGGAAAAGTACTAAAATAGGAATTAGGAAATTTGGATTCTATTATCAACCCTGCCACTTAATAGTTGGCTGATAAATACAGGTGTGGGCAAAAATAAGTCTACAGTTGTTCATATAAAAAAATCACATGCAGTTTATGATTATTACAATAGCTTTATTAACTCAAAAGAATGTCACAATGGCACAGTGCACTTAGGTACAATCTCATAAGTGTTCCAATTGCCGGCTTTCATTTTTTACACAGTCTTGTAGTCTACTAGCTATACGCTGTGTTTCAGTACACACAAATGTAAACCTACTTTTGCCCACCCCTGTATTTATTGAGCACCTACTATATGTGGCAGATACTACATAACAAAGTATACCTCATTTAGCTTCTGTGAGCCTCTGTAAAAGAAGGTTAATCACACTTATTTTATGGAGAATTGGAATTAGATAATGTCTATAAAGCTAGCTTGAAAAAGGTTAGGTCATAATACAAAGGTCAAAACTATGATGGATATGCAAGAAGCTCAACAAGTTATTGATTATCCAGACCAGCCTCATAAAAATGCACATAGAATTTGCATATTATTCCAGAAAGTTCATGGACTACTGTGAAGAAGCCCATCCATATGCCTAACCATGAACCCTCTTGGCTGTCAATGATCCTTGCCTCAGAGAATGAGTGTGCTGCCTGATAGACCCAATGGTCTTTTGGTTTTCTGGTCATGCTGAGTTCCATATCTATACCTATGATATGCAAAAACCCATCACTTAGTTCTAGGCTGAACCACCTGTTAGAAGGTGAAAGCCAGGAGATGGAACTAAGCACCACTAAAGAATCTGGAAATGAGTACTTTCCCACATCCAGAAAGCAGAGAAGTGGGATGGAAGAAAGGACTGCTGAAGGTGAAGAGTGCTCAATGCGAACAGGAAGTAAAAACAAATCTGGCCCTCAAATTTGGGTGAGGGGCAAGGCAAGTAAAATATTTTTATATTAATACCTTATAACAGATATGGACAAAGAGACTATGAGATCGGGTGGGGGGAAGGCCCTACAAAGGAAGGTAGAGAAGTGAGATCATCACAAGGATCCAAGGAAAACAAAACATCTGAAAATATTTAAGCTCTAATCTACAGGGAAAATTCAAGATTTCCTCAGTCTTTCCATTAAGCTTAATGAGATCCAGCAGGAGTGATGATTTAAACATCTAGTCTAGTTTCACATCTTCATTCATCAGTATGTCTTCTAGACTTCTTCAGGAACAGAATTCTGTCACAATGGAAACATCTCCAAATCATAGAAGCCCAACAAAGGGTTAATATTCTCATGACTCAGGTCCTTTATCTGGAAATAGAGGGACAGAAGAGAGTCAAAGCTGTCCTGTCTCAACTGGGGACCAGGATTAAGGGCACATACCCTTCTTCACCCTTCTTATGATTGCTGGTTGTTGTAAGCAGAATTTTGGCCTGATGATCTCCAAACCCTAGTGTTACTACTGTAATTGTGTTATGTGTCACAAGGGAGAGTATAGGGGTGGATCTAATCTAACCACATGAGCTCTTTAAATCAGAAGAGAAGGGATGAGAGGAATTTAGAGACTCAAAGAGACTCAGTGCTCTCTATTCTTGGCTTGAAGAGTGAGGAATGAGACTACAAACCCCGGAATGTGGTTAGCCTTTAGAAGCTGGAAATGGCTCTCAGCTGACAGCCATCAAGGAAGTGGAGATCTCAGTCCAACAATGGCATGGAACTAAATTCTGCTAACAACCTGAATGAGTCTAGAAGTGGTTTTCCCCCAGAAACTCCAGATAAGGGCCCAGCATGACTGACACCTTGACTTCAGCCTTGTGTGATGCTTAAGTGGAAGACTCAGCTGAGCCCACTTAGACTTCTGATATACTGAACTTTAAGATAATAAATGGCTGTTGTTTTAAGCTACTACATTTGTGCTATTTTGTTATGGCAATAAGGATTCTAGCCACCAATTCCACTTTGTATATGAGGCGGGGAGAGGAGCGGTTTGCCATACAACCTAGCAGCTGGGTGTCTAATAATTCAAGTTGATTCTGGCACTATTTACCTGGAGATAGAGTCAGATCCCACAGGTAAAGGGTTCAATCCTACAAGATTACTCCAACCCACTTGAGACACGAATTATAAGTCCAAGTTACGTGGGTTTCCGACCAACCAGTTATAGATTAGAGGTTTAATGAACCCCTCTTTGGGTTTGATTAATTTGCTAGAGCAGCTCACAGAACTCATAGAAACATTTTACTTACCAGAGTATCAGTTTATTATAACATGATATGACTCAGGAATAGCCATATAAAAGAGATGCATAGTGTAAGATAGGTGGAAAGGGCACAGAGCTGCCATGCCCTTTCCAAGCCAGTCTCTCCAAATCTCCATGTGTTCACCAACCTGGAAGTTCTCCAAACTTTGTGTTTTTGGGTTTTTATGGAGGTTTCATTACATAGGGTTGATTGATTAAATCATTGGCAATAGGTGACTGATTCAACCTCCAGGCTTACTCCCCTCCCCCATGGTCAGGGTGGTGGGACTGAAATTTCCAACCCTCTAATCACATGGTTGGTTCTCCGGGCAACCAGCTCTCATCCTCTGGTGCTTTCCTATAGTCATCTCATTAACATAACAAGAAGTGCCTTTATCATTCCCATCCCTTAGGAAATTTCAAGGGTTTTAGGAGTTCTGTGCCAGAAATGGGGACAAAGACCAAATATATATTTCTTATTATAAATCACAATATCACAGGCAGTGATTGAAAAAGAGTGCAATGGTCAAAGAGAAAAATTTCAGAGCGGGATATCTCTTAGCAATATATATAAGTGAATGCTGGAGCTGGAGCTTTCTTACTGATTCTTTGGGGACTCTGTGGAGTGAAGCTCAGTGACCCAGGAGGACTAAAGAAGGTTAATACAGTAAAACGTAGAATAGATTGTCTATAAAATTTGTTTCTCAAGAAACATTTAGAATTTTAATTACATTTTCCCTTCACAACTATTAATTTTTTCACTAATGTGAGAAGCATTTAGTATGTGCCCCCAATGTCCAAGACACTGGACTTCATGCTAGAGATGCAGAGATAAGCAAAATAAAATCACAGTCCAGCCTAAACCAGCTAAGGCGGACATGGGAAATCAGGTTACACATAGTAAAGTGGGCAGTTTTTTCTAAGGTTTCATTGTAGCAGCTCTTATGGACCAAGCAGTCAAAACTACAGAGCTCTGAACCTCTGTTAGAAGACAGAGTACAGCTTGGCCGGTGTGGCTCAGCAGTTGAGCATCAACCTATGATCCAGGAGATTGGGATTCAATTCCCGGTCAGGGCACACCCCCTGGTTGTGGGCTTGATCCCCAGAGGGGGGTGTACAGGAGGCAGCTGATCAATGACTCATCATTGATGTTTTTATCTCTCTCCCTCTCTCTTCTTCTTTCTGAAATCAATAAAGATATATTTTTTAAAAAAGAAGACAGAGTACAGTGGTTATGTCAGAGACTGCTAGTAATTCAACACAAATCCACTTATTTTTCTTATTGAGAAAACAACTAGTCCACATTTTCCAACCTCCCTTGGAGCTAAGTGTAGCCATATAACTGAATTCTTAGCAATAGACTATAAGAGGAAGTGATAAGTGATATTTCTAGTCTAAGATTTTTAAGAAGTGAATATACAACTTTTATGTTATTTTCCCGCTTCTATAGATGAATGCAGGTGATGACAAGGCCCTAGGAGATAGCATTGTCATAAGGTGGTCATATCCTGGGCCCCTGAATCACCATATTAGAAGAGTCACCAGCCAACTAGTAAAACCTAACTTACACTGTTCTTCAGATGAAAATTAAACTTCTGCTGTGTTTGAGACATTAAATATTTTGAGGTGTTTGTTACAGCATCTAGCTTTACATTAATACCCTTAGCATGGAAAATTTTTAGGCCTAAATTTTCCCTAGATCTTTATAGTCATATGTCCTTAGCTACAACCAATAAAGAAGATTCTATGTGTGCAGTTATATCCTATTCATATTCTGGACAACCTCAGGAAGCAGAGAATATTTGGAGCACCTGTATTAGCTAGATGGTCATCTGAACATTTGCTGGGTACACATGTCCTTCACCTCTGCCATAATATCTCCCTAGCTGGTTACCATCAAAAGTTCAAGAGTTGAATGTGTCCTGTCTCCCAATAATTTAAGTTTCACGAATCTTTTATGTTCAAAGAGGAGTTAAGATTCTAAATGATTTGGGAAGAATCATTACCACCCCTGCCTTATCTTCAGGCTGCTTCCTTAAATAAACCATCCAAGGATTCTTTGAACATAATTGGCAGGATTGGGGAAATCTTTTTTCTTATGTAAATAGAAAATGGTAGTTATTTTAGAGAAAGGATTGGTTTTAGTGTGAATGTATATAAAAGAGGGTTTCTCATACCATTTCAAACATCACTTGCACTTGATTTGATGGACTTAACATCTCCAAATCTCCAGAGGGTAACTTTCTCATCCACACCCAACCACCCTAAAAAGAAAAGATAGAGAATGGTGATGAGACTTAGTTGCTTTAGAGCTATAGAGCAAATGTCCCTTCCATATGAAAGGTTTATAGTTAGACCATCAACCCAAACAGGCTTTGTCCTTCCTCTCTAATCCTCTGTCCCATGAGCATTCTGTATTCTGAGCTAAAAATGAGGTTATACAGAGAAGTTAAAAATTCCAATTAACTAAAAACAGAAGAACAGTTGAAGGTATGCAGAACCCCAGAAAGGAATGATACCACTCTCTATAACAATTCCCTTAACTAGCTGCAGAAAGTGCTAGGTCATTTCACTTATTCATAGCTAAGTGATATAGCACCAGGTTCCCTGTGATTAATGGTGATGGTTGGTGGTTGCAGTTCTCACTGCTATGAGGCATCTGTGGCAGGAGACATAGTACAGCAAATGTTTTCTGCATTTACCTTGATCCATTTTTCTCTTGTGAGACAGGCCATTTTGGCGGCTTCTTATGCTTTAATCATAAACTGATTGGCTTAAATATAGATTAAACATTTTTTATTTGGACGCACAAATGTATTCCCATAGTACTATGAGCAACCTAGACTCTTTCAGAAGTCTATTTTTGAATTTTTAAGTACAAAACAGCAATTTCTAAGGTTGCTGTCAAGTCAAAAACAACAATTATTTTATTGTCTTCACTTTAACACTGGTACCTGATAGATAATTTTCTTCTATATGAATAGCCTGAAGGATTCATCAGTCATTGAATCCTATTTAGTTCCTGTCCAATCCAAAGTTTAAAAAAGCAATACAAGTATAGATTCCTTCTTCTCCATAATAATAATGTCTTACATTTGCACAGTGCTTGCTACTCTTCAAAGTGCTTTCACATCTATTACCTGTAGCCTGGATATTTCATTTCAGGCTACACCAATTTGTCATCAAGCAGAGATAATAAAGCAGATAGTTCTGTGCAGTCAAATTCTGAGAATAAGAGAGTGTAACCATTCTCTTATTAAGAAATATCCAGCTGTGGTACTGCATCTGGAGACTTGCCAGAGGCGAAGGCTAATAATGAGAGCTGCAGGCATCTGAGTTACTTGCCCACACTTTGTGTTAGAGTGCATCTTCTAGCCAAAGAGCTCAAAACTCTTTAAGTAGGAAATGGCTATTAGAGGCCTTTAGCAGCTGGACAAAACTATGCCAGCCAGACTCAATGCCCACAGAGTTCAGAAACGTAGTCCAGGATCGGTGCCTGGCAGCAGCAGAACAGTCAAAGCACTAAAGGCAGACTTTTTGCCCAGCAGCTCTTCAAGTGTGACTCCCATACAACTGTATTATGGTCACCTGGGAACTAGTTAGAAAGGCCAATTCTCAGGTTCCACCCCATACTTACTTAATCATAGAAGTCATGAGGGCCTGAGATGAGCTTGAAGTTTTAGTCTTCTGAGGACTTTAGCCTTTAGAGGGGTGAAAGCTTATGCTGAAGTGGGAATTCACCCAATCAGCCAATGTGTGAGATATTCCAGTGGGCAATAAAGCCTTCCAAGAACCTTTGAAAGTCAACTATATTATCCAACCCACAGTCACTCCTAGCCATCATGGTGCCTTTGTGCTTATTAGAAAAGGGTACTTTCCCTCATGTAAAAATACAGTTATGTTACAGCCTGCAGTAGCCCTGTGATGTTGGGCATGGATACACCACACTCTCATTTACTCATACATCTTCCAGACACCAGGGAACACATTCTACTAACTGCATGAATACTCTGCATACCACCAAGCCCTGCCTGTCAGATGAGGCCTCTTTGTCAGGTTTGGAGTCAGGCTGTGGAGGTGGGGTTGAGAAGCTAAAATTATATCTCCAAGAACATTAGGCAAGAGAAAGGAGTAACCTCAAGAAAGACCTGGGGTATAGTCAAGATAGCACATAGCGAGGTGCACATATGTTTATCAGTGAATGTATGTGCATGGACAGTTGTGTTGGTATAAATGTAGATATGAGAAGATACCCCTAACACCTCATTCCAGAACTAGGCTGGGAGGCCAGAATCTCTTTGCCTACTCCTGCACCCCTCTCATATAAGTAAGTATATATCTACAATGTAAGTAGTACCACCTGAGATATGGTGCTCTTGTGTAAGGCACAACTTGAACAGCAGTACAGGTAGCCCTTACTCTGCCTATACCCAGTACCACATACCTGCTTCCTGGATTCAACCCTATTATAGACATGGGTTAGCCTTTACTCTAGCTTATTAGCTCTTATAGGTAGTTAAGCAGGGCTTCCCCGCCACCTTGCCAATTCATTAAATTTGAGAGCTGGAAAGGGTCTTAGGTGTCCCTAGGCCAATCCCTTCATATGATGATAAAGAAACTGAATCCCAAAGAGATTAAATGACTTGCCTGGGTTCAGAAAACTAGGTAGTAACAGTGCTAAGTTTTTCCATTTCTCACTTTGTTGCTCTTTACTTTCATGGGCTTTCTTTGTGTGGGGGGATTTGTGTGTGTTTGTTTTAGTATTTAAATAATTCTCACAAATGTTATAAGAAAATTTTCATTGAGTCTGTGTGTCTTACTTCATGAATAATGAGGAAAAGGGAGAAAATGGACAGGTTTTATCTTTACCACACATGCACTATTTGTTTTGTTTTGTTGTTTTTTTCTTTTTAAGAGAAACAATGATAAATACTTCATTCATCATTCACTTTTTAATTAAGAGGAAGAAACATCAAACTCTATCCACTGCAGTTTTTAGAAGTAATTTAAAGTCTGTTCATTCTGAACTAGAGAACTAGGTCCTAGGCCTGGCTCTGCCTCAAATTCAGATGTGGCTTTAGAGCAGCCATTTAATCATCCTGAGCCTCAGTTTCTTCACTGATATAGCCGGATGACTTAGATGATTTATTAGGTTCTTTTCAGATTTGATGATATGATTATGTGATGAGAGAGAGAGATGTTTGGCGGAAGGATAGAGGAGGAGAGAGAGCTATAGGAATATAGAAGAAGGTGGGAAGATAGAAAAAAAAGCTCTGGGAAAGGGAGATGAACAGGAAGAGTGTGAAGGGAGAGAGAGTGAAATGAGATAAAGAGGAAAACAAAGGGAGAGGGCTTGAGAGGCAGATGGAGTCAGAGAATGGAGAAGGATGATCTTTTCAGTGGGTTCTCTCTGTTTGTGCCAGGGTTGTACTAATTCCCATCTCAAACCTTTCCCCTAGATTGTGGCTATTAGAGCACCTGATGACATGTTCCCACTGCATCTGCCATTCACAATTCTTTATCCCCAGAGGTTGGCTCATCTGGCTTTCTTTTCACATCTCCAAGAGTATCTATGAAATAAGGGCTGATTTTTCTGTGTAGTTCTGAAGGGTATGCATCTGTGTGTACAATCAAGGTGTGAATTTGTGTCAATGTAGTACAATGTTATGGCATATCTTTAGAGAAGCCTGTCTTTTCCTATTAGGTGTCTGTTATTCTAGGCACATTCTGTAACTTCTAGATCTTTCAATAGTAATTCTCATGAAAATTTGACTTATTTTAAACAGAAATTAGATAACAAATCTTTTTTAAAACACTCTGAGTAGAGGACCTTTTCAGAAGTCACACTGGACCTCATTATTTGATGTGTTGATTCGATTAACTTCGGCTCCCTCCCAGAGTCCTCTTTAGCCCTAGTTAGGCAGTTTTCTAGTTCCAGCTATCTCCTTTTGTACCCCATCACCAGCTTAATGTTGACTTCACTGTATGGTGTTATTCTCACTAACACGCTCCTTTGGTGCAGATGAAGGCCCCCTTTAGCCTACACAGTTCAGAAATACTCATCATCTGACTGACCAACAGTCGTTAAGGGAACTAACTGAACTCTCTGCCTCTTTCCCAAATGAGGAAATATGTGACAGCTTTTTAAAGGCCAGTTATATACAGATGTTTATTTATTTCCCTTCTCAATTCTACCCTATAACCTTCCAACTCCACCAAATAAAACATACCATGATTTAACACATAGATTCTTCCATACAATCAGAGGATCATAGCATATATGAGCCAGAAGAGGCCTTAGAGGCCTCTTTGTCCAGCAATTCTCAACCCTGGCTGCACATATAGAGGACATTTTTAAAACTACCAATGCCTAAGCCCACTCCATACCAAATGAATCAAAGCTAGGGGTAGAGCTTGAGCATAGGTATTTTTCTAAGTTTCCTTAGAGATTTTAATGAGCAACCAAGATAAAGAATTTAGTTCAACCCCTCATTTTACAGATGAAAAACCAAGAGACTGCTTTAGGTAATTGAGATTTATTTCAGAATATTGGAGGTGTCAATACATGTATAAAGCCATCAGCCCATTCCATTTGACATTCAAAAGCTATGTGATTATCTTGTCTGTAGTCTTTGAAAGAGTAGAACTGTTAATTCCCCAATACCTCAAGTTTATATTTAAAGCAAATTAAATTAAGTACAAGGCAAGATCCAGAGGTTTCCTGTCACAAATTTAAGTCAAAGCACAGCTACACTGAACAAATATATACCATACCAATTTTGGTGTTTTAGGCCCCTGTCAGTAATTTATCCTATGGAGGAGAGCATTCATTTGGAAAACCCAGTGCGGTAGACAATTAAAAAACCCATTCTGTTCTGTTTTGGACTTCCTTTTGTAGTTACTATTGAAGTTGAGAGTGTTTGATGCTTTTGGGAGTATCTTCAAACAAAACAAGGAAACCACACTGGGAAGGCCTTGCTTATGAGGGAAAGAAAGACAGCCTAGTTTTCCTTTTACCCTCTGCTTAATTCTTTCCTGCTGAGAAGAAACAGTTCATCTCTCCAACTGATGCAAGATTTGTTCTGGTTGCCAAACTCCAGTATCTTAGAACAAGGGGTCAGAGGTGGCCTCTTAAAGCTTGAAAGACAGAAACTGAAGTGAAATAAAAAAGATTTCTATTTTACAAAACAGAAGTTAACCTGTTACTCCAAGAGTTAGTTTAGGCTAAAAGAATAGATAAATGAATAATTTTCTAAAAAAAATAAATGAATACTTTTTAAAATTATTGTTTCATAATATCAGAAGATAACAAGTATAGGAAGAAAAACTAGCATTTGAAAAGAAGGGTTTGCCCCAAACCTTACTCTACACAAACATTTATCTAGAAGTTCCATCACAATCAGTTGACTTAGAAAGTAATTTCTTCTATTATTGTATCTATATCTTCTGGAAGGAGTTACATGGTTAAGTGTTTGGGTCCCATAGCTTTTTTCACATGCATAGTAAATACATGCAGTTAAAAAAAAAATCAATGAAGTTATAAGTAAGTCAGTTAGTTTCTGAAGAAAATCATTGTCAAAAATGTCAACCAAACAAGTCCATAAGGGAATAACAGACAAAAAAACTGAGAAGACTTACCAAAAGTCTCAATATTTTTTCCCACAGACTAATAAATCCTAAGTCACTGCCTCATTTTAAAATCCAAGGAGACAACAGATTAGGTAGCTGTTGATATCCTACCTCATAAATTGCTATGTTGGAGTTTTCATAGGTAGCTGGAGTTAGACTCCCTGAAGAAAAAGAGAGACTTGGGGATCTCCCACTTTGGACCTCTGAGTGATCTGGAAGCTTACACTGGCATGACTTCCTGTCTGTGAAAGGATTAGGAAAAAAGTTTGTGAACAAAATTCTCAAGATTTAGGACAAAGTACTAAGCTATGATATAGATACTATGTTTATCTCTGTGTGTGTTTTTTTCTCTTTATTCTGAAGAAAGTAACTATAAGAGTTGAACTCTGTAAACATGACATTGATTAATTTTTCTTATCCCTCAGCACTTTTTAAAGCCAGGGTTGGTACCATGCTTTAACTCCATATACCACAAAAGAAAGGCAAAGGTTTGTAGGTACTTCTATCTCTTAGAGAGGACTAGAATCATAGATTTGGAATGGTAAAACAAACAAACAAAAACACTAGTCATAATTTAATCTGGGACCCTCATTTTATTTTATAAACAAAATGAGAAAAGATAAAAATTTAGCATTTGAAAGAAATCAATTGCAGAACTAGGACAGAATCACACCTTTCTGACTTTCAAGCTTGGCTGCTTTTGTTATACCATCTTGAATGGCATCCTTCCTTGTGCAGGTAAGATTAATGGCAAAAAGTATCCCGAAAAGTAATCAAATGGTAGAGAGTTAGTAGATCATCCGTCCATGGTTTATGAGTTTAATGCTTAAATAGGCCAAATTCCCTATTCCTTGATTTGTTAACTTGTACACTTAAGTTTGGTACAGAGAACTAGGAAGTGTACAGTTGAATGATAAAAGGAAGAATTATCTGCAGTCTTTGTTAACTTTTAATATTGAACATCTTTGCTTGACCAGAGTGGCTCAGTTGGTTGAGCATCGTCCTGTACACTGAAAGGTTGCAGGTTCAATTCCTGGTCAGGGTACATGCCTGGGTTGTGGGTTTGATTCTCAGGCATGTACCCCAGTAGGGGAGCTTAAGGAGGGCAACTATCGATGTTTCTTTCTCACATCTCTCACTTTCACTCACTCACTCTTTCTCTCTCTCTCTCATCCTCTCTCTAAGCATGCCCGCAGGTGAGGATTTAAAAAAAATTGAACACCTTTATATTCAACTAAACCTGCAGACTTATTTCAAATGAAGAAATAATAAATCAACAAGTTCTCATATTTTTCTCCATGTCTCCAAATATGCCTTTTTTAGAATTATAGCAATACAGAGTTAGCAGTTACATTTGATACTGTCTGGGCCAGCTCCCACCTGCAACTCCAACACCCTCCTTTTATAATGAGGAAACAGAGACTTAGAAAAGGATGTAAGGACTGGAAGAAGAATGTAAATGTTATATTTGCTGGTGTTGTGTTATTTCTACCACATAATGCTTTGTTTCATTTTTGCTTTCCAATAAAATTTAATCTTAAGTACTTTCCCACACTCTAAACTTAATGGTCCTTGATAAACTGAAGATCACTAATTGTTTTAGCCCTATGTTAATTTTACCAAGACAAGACTATCATGAAGTCCCAAGTTAATAGTAAACTATACCTAGCCCCTAATGTGTTGAAATCCCAACAGCTCAAGATTCAAACAAGATGTAAAACTTGACTCTTCACATAACCCTTACATCAGAGCAAGGCCAGAGAGAAATCTACAAAAGAAAGGCAAAAGTTTGTAGGTACTTCCATCTCTTAGAGAGGACTAGAATCATAGATTTCATTTTTTACTTTTATTCTTTTTTCATATCTTCCTTTTCATTCTTTATTTTCATATCTCAGCAGGAGCATCTAGATCTGTATATTGAGGTATAGACCTCTCCATTAAGGGCAAAAGAGAAAGCAAGAAAATCTGCCAAAATCCACATACATTTGGACTTCAGCTTCACTTTCCTCTAAAAACTTCCTTTCCTGACCTGACTTCTACTGACCTGTTAATTTTTCTATACTGAATTTATATTCACCAAGGGTTTACACTTTCAGACATTCTATTTGCATGGAATTCTTGGCTTGGCTTATTGACTGATTGGACACAGCCAGCTGCAAGTCTGACTACATAGCAATTAAGGAAAATGTATGGCCCCCCATCTTTTCCCCTCAAAACCTGTGATACAAGCTGCCAAGTGTCAAACGGGATCTGGAAGCCAAGAGATATGTTCTCCTAGGGTAATGCCATCCTTTTCCACCTGGACCAAAATAGTAACAGAAATTTAAAAAGCACTCTATAAGGGTATTAATCTCTTTGCTATTCATTTTTCTCACTCATGTGGTAAAAAGTGGTGATGATTTTTTTCTCTCATTATGTCAAAATATATGCACAAGTGAAAGAAAAGATCTATCATAATGAACAAAATTTTAAAACCTCAGGTATTTTGTTAATCTGTAGGTAGCACTATTCTATTCTTGGTGATCTTGTGAGAACCAGTACGGAACCCAAATACACTTTTCGTCTCAGTAGGAAAGTGAAAAGGCATATGTGGAGGTTTTATAGACATTACTTGACCATTACAGGGCCTACACAAAGAAAAGGCTAATTCAGTCCAAAACTGAGCTATGTTTATTGTTTTGACACTTTAGAGCCAAAACATCTAGGCAATTGATATGAACTGTCATTTGACATGCATACCACCAAAGAAGTAAGGATTTTAAAAAATAAATTTATTGAAAAAAAAATGGGTTTATTGCTTTTGACCATAACTATACTCTATATCGCTACCTTTGGACAATAACTTCTAGCCATCTGCTTTTACTACTGACTATCCATTTCTGGACAAAAATATTTTGTCACAGAATTGAATACTTGTTTTTTAGTATAATGTTATGTATTGGGATTGCTTTAGAGCTTGAACTTCAGTATCTTCCCTTTCTAAATGAGGTGGGAAACTTCATATAAGGTATATTGAATGTGGCAAATCCAGACAAATTCCACCACCTCAGGGTTCTCTGGTGGCTTCAAAAATAGAGGCTATCATCAATTAGTTTTTATGACATGAAAGTGGAATGTGGCTTTCAGTCAGAATGGTGCTCTGGTATTCAACAATACATTTCCAGGAACATGATATCAACCTTACAACAAGATCTGTTGATTTAAACAAGTAAGAGTTAGGATTGTAATTAAAATTAAATCAAACAGCTGAACTTTTTATTTGATTCCAACTGTATAGGCTATTACCCTGTAAATACATTTTCACCTAACCAACTAAATTACACTTTTCAGTGTCACATTTAGGCAAACAATCAGTTTGGTCACAAATATAATTAATTATCAGATCTGGTTCAAAGGTGTAGCAAAAGTAAGTAGTATATGGGGACAATGTGAGATGTTTCCATCCTTTCCTTACATCTTGCCACACCATATCAGAATTTGCAAAGACTAAAGTCTTTATCTTTGCCACAGATTGGGCACAGAAAGGCAAACTCTCCCATTACTAGTTATATTTGACAAAACTCCCCCACACATCTCTTTTCCAAGCTTTGTTTATGCTGTTTTCTCTGCCTAGGATGCCTATAGGGGCCAGATGGATAATATAAACTGATGAACTAGGCTGGGTATAAGAAAAAAGAGAGTGATAGGAACTGTGTCAAACTGCAGAAATCATGTCTCTTCCAAAAAGGGCACCTACTATCAATGAATTGTCACAGTGATACCCAAAGTTGATAGATTGGCTAACCTTTTAAAAAACACCCAGAGGTCCAGATCTTTATGTGTAATCTCACAATGTCAAAAATCTGGCTACTAATTTTTTTAATCGTAAGGGTTGGATGAAAGTGGTTACCAGTTTCTTACCTGTGATCTAGAAAAATTCTATTCTTCCTTCTTTTAGACACAGCTTCAGTGCTGGGTCTCTGAAAAGCCTTTCTCCACTGATCTGTCTCCTATGAAGTTCTACCATATTTCTAGTGTCTTTTGTGCATATGGTGTCTATCACCTTTCTTATGTAGTATGATTTGAGTCTCTGACTTGACTCTAATCTCCTTAAAAGCAGGAATTATATGCCCTCTCTAACATAGGGCCAGGACATAGTAGTAGGCCCTCAATAAAGATCACCAGTTACAACACAATCAAAATCAGAACAGAACCACTGGTGAAACTCAACTATCTTTCACTAGTGGATTCATTAATAAAACTTTTATGAGCACCTATTATACTATCAGCACCATGTTGGGTTCTTTTGGCTAACATAAAAAAATGCACCCCCTGTCTTTGAGAAACTAACAATCAAATGTTGAGTCCAAATGTACAAAGAAGGGATACATGCAGTCAAAACCACACTATTGCTCAAAGAGCACTGCATCGCTTCCACATAACTGTTCTAAGACAGCACCATCCAATAAAAATGTAGCACAAGCCATACATGTAATTTTAAGTTTTCTAGTAGGCACATTACAAAATATAAGAAGAAAAAGGTGAGAGTAATTTTAATAATAGACTGTAACCCAATACATCCAAAGTATTGTCATCCTGTCTTGTAATTAATATATTTCTAAAATTTAATGAGATAATTTACATATTTTTGTACTGTCTTCTAAATCCAGTGTGAATTTTACTCTTATAGCCCATTTCAATTCAGACTAGCCATATGTCAAGTCCTCAATAGTCACTTGTGGCTTGTGAATACCATACTGAAGAGTACAGCTAGAGAAAGAGAAGCTCCTTACCTTACTGCAAAAATGGGGATTGATAAATGTCACATCCTCCAAAGTCAGTACAATTCTGTTGAGTCCTTTAGTCAACTGGATTTTATTTATACTATGCCTGAAATAAGCATAATATCAGAGGGTCAGAGGGGGCTGGATGTTTTTCAAACCTAGGATAAACTTGCCTTATGATAAAAGTTTAAAAATACACAAGATAATTGAGAGAATAACTACGCATGGATCTTTTCCATAGTACCCACAGCAAAGAGAGGCAGCAACCTTAGTCCTCACAACTTGCAGAGTAACAAAAATCAAAAGAGAAAAGTGAAAATGTTATTGAAAAGACATCAAAGGGAGGGGTGAAAGTGTTGTATGGGATGGTATCTAAGACCAAAAAGTGGTGTTCCCACTTCAAGGGCACATTACAAAACATCACCGCTGAATACTTTTAAAGAATCCAATATGCTTTCTCATACGCCATAGTTTATTTTCTATTAATACCAGGGCAAAGAATCAATAATCTTCATTTTGTAGACACAAAAATACATTAAAGAAACAAAACAAAATTCAGCAAATTGTGTGAGATCCCCTAGTGTGAGGCAGAGCTGGAACTTGAATCCTTGGTCCCTGGCTGAGGGCCCAGATTTCTGCCCACAAGACCACTTGTCTTGCAAAGTTGCATCTATGTGTTGCCAAAGCAACAGTTTGAAAAGTGGAAAAACTCAATCAGTTGGTTGCTTTGTCTACATCATTCCAAACAAGTGGGCTTAGTGTTGTTTTTTTCTTTTACTGAATTGGTCTCTTGTCTGAGGATTACATAGACACAGTTTAAACCTGATTCTCTCCAAACATGCCCATTAATTTGCAGTGAATGTAATCATTTCTTACAAATCAATTACTAGACACATAAGAGTTTATGATGTCTGCCCACACAGCCAGGTAGGTCATCTCAGTTGAGCTGATGGGACAATTTGAGGATCTAGAGGGAATCTTGGATTAGTCCACACGGTTGTTTGTTCTGTTCTGTTTTATCTTGGGTGTCTGACAGTTACAGTTTGGCTTTACTTTTTTCATAACCCCTTAATGGTTACCCTGTGGAATGTACTAAAGCTGAGTGCCAGAGTGGGGAAAACAACCCCTGAATCCAAGTGCTTTGTCAACTTGTTCTAAAAAACCTACAGTGCCACTGTAGCTTTAAGGACCAGCAACCCAGTCAGTTTTTCTCAGTGATTCCACTGGTTTGTAAACAAGCAATTAATGTGTTTCTAATTGTCTGCCAACAAATATGTCTCTTATCACTGTGGGAGCTGCTGCCCTACAGAGAAAATTAAAAGAGCCCTGTAGTGAATTCTTGGGTATACCATACAAATCTATTGGCAAAGTAAAGCATCACTCCCTGATTTATCTGTTTGATATGTGTGGGGAATTCTCTTAAAGCAGGCACATCTGTCAAAATAATCATGCTACAGAATACATCCAAGTAGAAAAAAAACTGCACTCCCAATCCAAAGACCTGGGGTATAGTGCCGATTCTGTCATTTATTAGCCAGATGACCTTGGATACATAATTTAACCTCTTCATGCCCCAGTGTCCTCATCTATTAAGCAAGATAATTGTCCTTGCAGTATCTGTTTTTATATAGTTGTTTTGAAAAATCAAATGAGATAATGTATGTGAAAGTGCTTTGAAAAGCATGAAGCACTATGAAAGTATAAGGGCTCATTATTATCATTATCATCATTAGTATTACAAAGCACGGGAGAGCTTTATAGAAAGAAGAGGCAATCTGTTTCAGATGAGGGGGAAAGGAGGAGTTCAAAGAATCCTTTGTTTTGGGGTGGCTGGGTTCTTTGTATGTCCTTCTTTCTAAAAAACTTAAACAATCAAAACACAGAAAATGAAGGAACAGAGAGTCACTCTCCTGCAAGTAATCACCATCTATTACAGAAACTCATCAGCAGCTCAGCTCTTCTGACTGCAGCCCTGTGGGCAGAGAGAGGGAGGTAGGCAGCAAAGAGAGGGCATCTTTTGTGCTTTGTTAGCTGAAGAACCAAGAACCAAGTGACTCTGGAAAATGATGAGCTTTTCTCCCCTTTCTGAGTTTTCTGTGACCACTTCAAGTACCAGTTGTCTCAAACTCATTTTCCTCTCCAGTCATTTTCATCTGTAATCATGTCCCTCTCCAATCAGTTTCCTCTCCAGTCTTCTTTGCCCTTCAGCCCACAAGTTCCAAACAAATGCCTGCCAACCCCATGATTTTTTTTTTTTTCTTTTTTTCCTCCCCTTACCAAGAATTGCAGATTGGGCTCACTCTAAGCCCAAAGAACCAGTGAGACCAGTCATTTGGGGTGGGTGGTTGATAACTAACACAAACAGCTGAGTGTCTCCATTTTCCACCTTACCATGGGATGACTTGGCATTGAATAGCTAGAACCTATTAGTCCTCAAATCTCCCTAGAGGAGGAAGATCTTTGATTGAATGAAAATTATTTTCACTAAGTAGCTAATGATGTTATTTAAATACTTTATTCTATGGAAGCAGCTAAATTAAAGACATTAAATTTCTGTTGACAGCAGGGATATGTAACAGTCACAGAAATTAAAAGAAAAACTTCCTTTGAAGTAATGTCTTTATTGATATATTAGGCAGTTAGACAGACATGAGCAAAGTAGGAATGATAGGCAAGGTACAGAAGGTCATCAGGGCAGAAAGACCATGGTACTTAGCAATGGGAAAACCTGGAAAAACAAGTATTGTAGGGTGGGAACTTGCCCCCAGGGTGGCCTTTCCTCCCATAGCATATTGCTAGTCATGTGATTTAGACCCCATGGCCTTTCATATATCTAGTCATTTGGTTTGGACCCTCCCCTGGCTTTTCCTCCCCTGGCATGTCCCTAGTCATGTGGTAGACCCCCTTCAAGGAAGAACAAGGGGGTGGGAGAATAGCCTCATATGACTCTCATACAAGCACTTGCATTACCACTCACTCCCTTAAGCATTAAGCCCCCAGTACAATGAGGCCTGTCCTGTATCAAATAATCTGTTGACCCCAGAGACAGTTTTGGTCAAACTAGAGATAACATTTAGGCCTCAGTTGTGTTTCAGCTCCAGGTTCAGAAAAGCAGCAAAACCAGATGAAGTGACATTATGGCTGACATCAGGACTAGTTTCAATGATTAATAACCCCCTTCTCCCAACATCAACCAATCAGTAGAGACCACGACCATTAAAGGACATCCCTGAAAAGCTGATAAATATTCTATTGAGATTGTACCCTGACACCTCCCCTAAAATCCCTGCCTTTGGAAAACATATAAAACCCCTTAAGATGAAGGACCAGTGCGCACTCTCTCTGGAGCATGCCCACACTTTTCCCCCCTTCTCTGTTCTACAGGTGCATTTTCTTTGCCTTTCTTTTTCCTAAGTGCCAAGGGCCTTTCTTTTGCTTGTGTAACTTGTTTCCTGGGCCCATGCAGCCCAGCTGGCTCACTTCTTCTAGATCACTTCTACCTCTGTGACTTTCTAAATAAACTTTTTACACTGGAGTTCTTGGCACTGAATTCTTTCTTAGCCAAACTCAAGGACTGAGGTCTAATTTCACTGGTAACATCTGGTGCTGTCTGCCATTAACATTTATCAAGTGTGTTTTACCAGTTCATAAGCTATCTACTACTTTGTGTGGCTTTCTCAAGTTTCTAATCATGGAAAGAATAGACCACAATGTTTTTTCACAGCCATGCCAACACATTAAACACTAAGAGCTATACCTGTTACAGTTTCAATCCAGGATATCAAATCATTTAGAATATCAGAGCTGGAAGGGCTCTTAAAGATCATCTAATCCAATTTATTTTAAAATGAGAAAATTCTGGCCTAGAGGTTTAGTGCCTGGTCCAAATTTATACAGCTACTCAATACACTTTAGACCTTTCTTGAAGCTAATCAAAATAGCTCCATTCCATTCCCTATCAAATTTGCATCACAATGCTGTCAGGAGCACCCTTATAAAGAGATAAAAAAGGTGTGGTTTCCAAGGTGGAAAGCCTAAAGCAGGAGAGCTGTGGTAAATTTCATACTTCACTCTCCCTAAATCATCCTAGCATGGGGGAGGGACCAACTGTTAAAATGCAAAGATTATAAGAAAAGGGTGTCATATTAAGCCATCTTCAGCCATTTATCCCTGATCCTGAATTAGTTCATTAGAGTAGTTGGTCACTTATTAAGGGATCTCAGAGAGGAAGACTAAGAATGATGACAATGATGATGGTAATGATTAGCGAGGAGACCTTTGGTCCGAGGAAGAAGGACAGTAAAATCAGGAATATGATACCCAAGGCAAAAGTCATGAATGTGAAAGTGAAGATTCTGGGCTCCCAACAATCAAAAGGAAAGTCTCATGTGCCTGGGAAGGAGTTAAGACTTACCATTTGATGAGCACTTACTATGAGCCAGGTATTGTTCTAGGTACTTTAATTTATTTAATCCCCACTACAATCCTGTGAGTTAGTATCATTATCCTTAAATCTTGGATTCTAGTCAATTCTGCCTAACTCTTGGAATTTTTAAAATACCCCAACTCCATTCCCCAGAAATCCATACGATTTAAGGAAGGAAAGAGTTATAGAAGATGCTGCCAGTGGAAAAAAGAGGACAGATAGGGAGTAGGCAGGCCCTAAAGTACTAGTGATCTTATTTCATGATAGTGTTGTTAAGAGTCATATCTACTCAGAGGCAACAACATTGACAATACAGATGAGGAAGTTATTCTTGGCATCATGAAACCACTACACCCTAAATGAGACCAGTAGGAATGGTAAATCACTATGGAAAAAAGAAAATCAGTGGGTCATGTAATGAGGCAATTGTACTGCAACATGACTTCCTGGAAATCAATATTAACAAGGTTATTATGGGATTATATTTTTATATACAAAAAGCACCAAAATGTACCTTATAAAGTAAGCAAATCCATTAATAGATAGCAGGGCTATAAGCAAAGCAAGGCAGACTGTCACAGCAAAGGCAAGGTCGATGCCTGCAGAGAGCAAGAGGAAAGGGAAGAATGGCATTATCAAGAAGAGGCTGTAAATAAAAGGCACCACAAAAAGACTCCTCATGCTTTCTGGTGACTCTAAAATCAAGCCACACCTACCTAACTTAATTCCATTTTTCTACATCACAGTCTGTCTGGTTGACTTTATGGATACAGAAAGCAATTTCACTGTTCTGAAGCAAAACCACTCACCACTCTAACAAAAACAAATCACACGAATTAAGGCTGACCTGGGTGTTTCTTTGGAAGAAGAAGTCCATGAATGGAAAATTTTGAGTACCTTATTTTAAGTTACACAGCAACAGAGTTCCTCAGAATAAATATGTTATCTCACCTGTGAAGGGTAAATATTATGTTGCTTTCATAAAATAAAATACATTTTTAATTCAGTCAAACCCATAGACCTTGTGAGTTTTTAATGAAAAACATAGCACTTGTCCTTCGAGGGTGAGTCTGGTTTTGATAATTAGTGTTTTCATTATGATATAAATTGGTCTCTGGAAAATCTAAATATTTGGATGGATTACTAACATTTCAGAGGGAAAATATATGATGATGTGAGTAAAGAGGTAGCTGGGTATGTCATACTAAAGCAAAATAGAAATGAAAGTCCATTTCAAATATATGCATTTGGCTTTAGAAGGTTGTGGTGTACACTTACATAGCAATAATATGGATCCTTCCAAAGTTCCTCTCTTACTCTCACAGATTTAGTGGAGTTTCCCCCATTCCACAGGCCAGAGGAGTTTCATCAGTCAATCAAACTGCAAATATTTATTGGACACTGACTGTGTCAAGCAGTTGGGGGGCATAAGAATTATTAGCTATGGTCCCTACCCTCAAGGAGCAGTCTATTTAGGAAGGGGAGACACAATCAATATACAGGAAACAATTGAAAAGCAATTTTGTGCTAAGCTGTGAGATTCAGACTTATAGTTCAATGGGAGTTCATAGAGGAGAGGGTATAGAGATGGTATTTCTGTTGTGGAATCTGATCCACAGGATTTGAACATATCAAGGCAAGCACAGGTTATCTTTCTAGCAGGGGGGAAATAGCAGCCTACAAAAGATCAAGGAAAAGGCTCATGCTTTCCTCTTATTAGAATAACCCCTCTGGGAGTGGGATCCTTTTTAAAACAACTAGGGGATACAAAGAACAGACTCATGGTTGCCAGATGGGAGGGGTGTTGGGGGGCTGGGTGAAAAGTAAAAGGATTGAGAAGTACAAATTGGTAGTTACAAAATAGTCACAGGATGTAAAGTACAGCATAGGGAATATAGTCAATAATATTGTAATAACTATGTATGGTACTAGGTGGGCATTTGAAATATTGGGGGAACCACTTTGTAAAGTATATGATTGTCTAACCACTATGCTGTACACCTGAAACTAATACAAAATAATACTGAATGTAAACTGTAATTGAAAAATAAAATTTTAAGTTAAAAAAAAAAACAAGTGGAGGAAGCTTTTAAATTGTGGATGATGATTCAAGGCTGCAAAGTACCTTTATTGTCATTATTTTAAATCAACTATACAGTATACCAAGATATTTATGTCATCTGAATGCAAATGATTGATTCTATATAAGTGTTCCAATATTAAAATATCCTTCCCCTAAAGAGGTTCCCTTGTAACCCAAGCTGAACCAAATTGACTACCAGTGATTTTCCATTCCTTACCTCCTGGGTAGATCTTCCTTTCTACAAACCAGCATTTTGCATCTGCTTGAGGGGGCCTGCTACCAGGGAAGTGAATGGGAGTCCCTCTGAACCGTAGCAGCTCCATTTCCATGTCCACAGTGTAAGTACGATGGAGTCCCCATTTTTTCCCTTTGGTGTCCAGGATTACATAGTCTGAAATTCCATTTCCATTGGAATCTGTCTTTACCAACTGATTGAATCCGTAGAACTGCGTCTTTCTGGAATGCTGAACCAGGCTGGCAGCACTAGCCTGTTCATTTTCTTTCATAGCATTATTCATGGCTTGTGTGATAAGGTAAATTGAACTGTAGATGGTTCCAAACAACGGTGAAACCTATTTTTTAAAATCACAATTATCTTGAACCCTAGTCACCCTAGAGCAATCTCAGAGTGTATTTCAAGCCTGTGTTCATTATAATGGGCTGCATATCTGACTGGAGGGGAGCTCTGAAGGCAGAGAGGAAAAAAACAATTGTTTCTGAGGACTTGCTTCGTTTCTCCCCTGAATTTTTCTGTTTTTCTCCCCCAGGCCTTCACAACTTTAAATATATCAAATATGACAATTTTATGGCCAAACCAAGTCATACAGAATATATTTTTATATCCTTAATCTAAGAAAGTGATTTAGAGTTATAAAGGGCACTAAGAAAACTTGTATGGAAAGGACAAGAGGTAGAGGCACTCAAAGGAAATTTACCAGGTTAATTACTGGTGCGTTATGCATGGTAAAATCACTTTGCTGGAACTACTAGAGGGCAGCTATGTGTGGTAAGACTATAAATAATATGTTTCCATAGTCCATGTCTTATCCTGTCTTAGTTCAAAATGGCTATTCTCCTAGACAAAATGGGCTATTCTTCCTGCTCCTCAGAGAAAGCAAACACTAGAATAATGTCTTAAACACATATTCCCACACATGCACATGCAGACATGCATACTAACATATACACACCTACAAATACAGAGAAAAATGTTGTAGTATATAGAGAATGTGGTTTTAATCAAGAAACCCTATATCGTATCGGCTTGCAAAGTGGCAAAGCCTTGGTGACAAGCCACTATAAAGCAGTAAGGCTGCTACGGTCGATAGCATGACTCTGCCTGCTTTATAAATGTTGTAAAAGCAACAGTATTTGTGTATTATGTCTGGTGCACTATTCATTAACTTTGTGAGTTTATTTTTGTAACAAATCTTGCATTTTTTTTTCATAATGGTAGGAAGGAAGAGGGCATGATCCCTCCCTCCTTCCCCCACACCAGCTATGGCTTCATGGTTTTTCATGGTTTCACAAGGTCTAGAAAGCTATCCTCCTGTAATATCATTCATCTGAATTAAGAGATTTAATATTGAGCATTAGCCAGTTTGGCTCAGTGTTTAGAGTGTTGGCCCTCAGGCTGAAGGGTCCCAGGTTCAATTCCGGCCAAGCGCACGTACCTCACTTGCAGGCTTGATCCCTGGCCCCAGTGGGGGGAGCGTGTGGGAGACAACCAGTTGATGTCACTCACATCAATGTTTCCCTCTCTCTCTCCCTTTCTCTCTCTCTCCCCCTTCCACTCTCTCTGAAAAGCAATGGAAAAAATATCTTCTAATGAGGATTAAAAAAAAAAAAAAGATTTAATATTGAGTGAATCATTTTTGGGGTGGAAATACAAGTCATGATGTAGAGAGTTATAGCAGCTAACAAGACACTGTCATGCCTTGTTAATGTAGAGCAGAGGGTTTTCAATCCTGGCTGCACATTAGAATTATGTGGGGAGTGTCAAAAATTCCAATGCCAATGCCAAACCCAACCCATACCAACAAAATAAGACATTGTAGGTTTTTAGACCCAGTAGTCAGTATTACTAAAAGCTCCCCAGGGAGTCTAATCTATATTTAGGGTTTAAAATCAACAGCATAGAAGACACACTGACTTAATGTCAGGATATTGATCAAATCACTTCTCCCCTCTCTCTAGGCTTCAAAAACAAAGATACAGAATTATGGATGTCTAAATCTTGGAGGACATCTTGTCTAGCTATATTTCTTTCTAGGAATGCAAAGGAGACCCACAGTGAAGTGATTTTTCAAGGTCACTCACCTAGGCATAAAATCAGGACTGGAACCGAGGTCTCCTAGTTCTTAGTTTAGCATTCTTGATTGAAATAGATGTTCCTTGTGGTCCCTCTTAGTTCTGAACTCTTGTGAAATTCCCCGACTCTTGGTTTAGTCCAAGGATTAGCTTGCACACATTCTTTTGGCCTACATATGGGTTATTCTTCATTTCTCTGACCTTTTAACATTGGAGTGCCCCAAAGCTCAGTCCTTCACCCTCTATCTACACCTGCTCCGTTTTAATCTCTTCTAACCTCATGGCTTTAAATACCATATCTATGTCATAAATCTCAGACTGATAGTTCCAGCTTAGACCTCTATCCTAAATTCCAGACTGATATAGTCAGCTGCCTACTTTGATATCTCTACTTGGGTGTTAAATTTTAATGTACCCCAAATCAAAATCTTAATCTTTACCCCCTGCTCCTTCTACAATGGGTCAATTTTTAAGTTACTCCATGCTTCCAGTCATTCATGCCAAAAACCTTACCTCAGATAACAGAGACAACTACAGAAATCAATACCTCAGTTTCCTGAGCTTTATTCCAATGACCTCCCTTTACCACTCTGCCTTAACATGCACTATACAAATAGGTACGGTGAATGGATGACATGTGCTGCCGCCGACATCTACACTTAGTTGCCCAGCACACACTGAGGTCCCTTAAGGGGTTTCATGAACTCCATCTTGACATTCTTGGATGCTTCATTTAATTGCCTTTAGGATTTCTTCAAGAGCCTTCCTGTTTTCTGGGGATTTGGTAGGTTATGACTATCAGTGAAGGCTGGAAGGTGGAGTATAAAATCAATACCAGTAAAACAAATGAGTAGAAAACCACAGGGCAATAAGCCCCTGAAAGCAGGGAGAATGCTAGTGTTCTGTTTTAAAAGGCACAGAGCTTTCTTGGAAAGAGATTACCTCTACTCATAGCCAAAAGCAAAGATTTAAACCCTTAAAAACAATACCCTCACCTCTGAGTTGACCCATCCAAAAGGGTTTTCAGCTGGCCAGGCTACATTGCCCTTTGTGCTCTCAGATTGACCCATTAGAGCTGACTGACAGCAACTCGTCAAGACTGCTGAGACCTGAACCTTGTTCTTCAGCATTCTCTAGCCTCCACCAAATACCACACACACACACTCTGTCTCTCACACACACACACACGTGCACACGTCCATACATGCACAGCCACAAAAGTATGGTAGAGGGCCTTGAAACTAAAGTGAAAAGCATAGCTGTAGCAACAGCATTCAGTTGCAAAAGAGTGGCTGTCACAATGGCCCACTCTTACTACAAGGGGCTTAGATTTGTCTTCCAGCTGGTTTAGTGTTCCTGTTTCACCCATTGTGCCCTTCAGCAATGGGAATTTCTCCTTCCCATAAATAAAAAGCACACTCTGTTAGCATTGGTCACAAAAGTTCTCTAGTTGTAGCTGCTGCAAATAATGAGAAAAAGAAGAGGTAGAAAGTTGGACAGGGGGAAAAGAACACTCTCCACAGCCCTCTGCGCTGGCTTCTGACAACAGCTCCAAAGAAGAAAGACAGAACTGTCAGGAACTTCTGATGACCTTGTTGACATCACAGCCCAGAACTGGGAAACCACTGATGACTTACTTATCTGTTTATGGACCTGAACCTGAATAAATGAACGAATTTTGAATAAGTAAATGATAATTAAAACTTATACTTGTTATTCATTGACTTTAGCTCATCCTACTCTAGGCTTTTTGGAGCTTATATCTGAGAGAACACAGTCTCAATCAAGAGCAGTGATATTTGAATTTTTTCACTATAATGGTTCATGGTGTTATTAAGTTGACTATCATCAGCTCAGATTTATTGTGTTTGAAAAACATAAAAATGGCTTCCAAAAATTTTTGCTCTTGGTGACATGCATTAAACCTGGCTTAGAAAACATCACCTGAAGGACAAAATGATAACATCACTTTTGAACAAAAAGCTAGGTACATGCAGAGATCATGAAACCAAAGGGTTATTGAATTTCTGTTATTAAAGGTGGTACCCCCAAGTAATATATGATCTCAATCCTTGGACTTAGTCAAGAGATGGCTAATAGCCCAATCTGTTTGATATGATACTCATGAATACAATGCCCTTATTTTATATAAACAATGAGGTAAAAAGAGAGTTGTAGCCACTGTGAGCTGCAGGCAACCTTTTCTGACAACATGTGTGGTGGGTCCCATCCTGGAATGCTCCAGTTGTAACCACATTCCCTTCAACCTAGCATCCCAGGCACCCATATTTAAGGTAATGGAAAACAATAGGTGCTAGGAGCTTAAGGTCCTCCGGGCTTGCTGAGACATACAGAATACTTTTTTTGCTTAGCCAAATAAGACCACATTTGGAAAAAACATCCAAAATTTGTGTTCCAGCAATATGCATTTGTAGCCAATGGAATTTCATTGAAGACAAAGGAATACAATAAAAGAAAAGAATGCAGACACTAAAACCTTATTTCAGAAGTCTATTCTGTGCCAAAATATAAAGGTACAAAATGACAATACTTGCTCAATCATCCTGAGACCAAATTAGGAAATTTGTCACTGGTGTCCCACTCCCTTAGTCTCTTCATTCTAATTTATTGTTCTCTTTTTATGGGTCCTCATAAATCCCTATCACTTCTTATATCCGCAGAAAACAATGCAATAAACCCATTCCAATTAAAGTATTAGTCATTTAGTAATGTTACTTTGAGTAAAGCACTAGACATGGGACACAGTATAATTTTTTTAAAAGGCTAATGTGTTGTAAAATGGTCAGGTTTTAGTAGCAGACTTGGTTTGGAATCTTTGCCATTTGCAAGCTGTATGCCTTGGGCAAGTTACCTTGAGCCTCAGTGTCACTGTCCATAAAATGGAGGTATTAGTACCTAATTTCTAGGCTTAATGGGATCTTTTATGTAAAGCATAATCATGTAGAGTAAGCACTGAAAACATGAAAGCTATTATTTGCATTTCAGAAGAGGAGCACAGGGCTCTAGTAATATCATCCTGGAATTTCAATCTTCAAATCTCTTGTTCCAGTCTTGAATTTGTGACCAATAGGTAACAAAGTCTGTTTTATACCCAGTGTCTTAGCACCCTAAAATAGTAAAACTGTTCACTTTCATTAGGGAAAGAGCTTGTTTCTATTCTGTTCTTCATTATATTACCTGCATAGTGACTAGCCCATAGTAATAATAAAAGTAAAAAAATTAATAGCAATAATAATTAACA